TTCCTGCAACCCTTGCTCACTTTTCCAACACAGTGGGCATACTTGACTGTGTAACCATTAGTGTTATGGAAATCAAGCAGCTCGCTCACGTACGAGACGGGTGACAACCGACATTGAGGTGAGTATGGATACGCATTCGGCCGAATTGACGGCGCCTGCGGACGACCATGCGCCCGCGATGGCGTGCTGCGAGGTTGGACGATGCCTTCGTTTAGCGAACATCGTGCACAACTTCTCTGGGACAAGTATCAGCCTTGACGAATTAGCGTCTGGTCTACGTTTTATTAATAGCGTTAATGGTGGCGTCAAACAAGTAGCAGCAAATTACACTGCGCTTGCTACTCCGGCTATCTCGTCACAACGCAGGTCCCACCTATGCATTCCTCACATGGACTCACGCTCGGATTTATTCTTGCTTCTTCTATTCGCTGAAGCACTATCACATAACAATACAGTACATACATCAAAAAGTAGTACAGTATGGCAACGCATCTTTGTGTTGAAATCTTCAAAAAGGATTTCCGTCATCTGTATTGTTTTACTGCTTGAAATGAAGGCTAGGTTGATAAAATGAAATTCTCTTCAACGCCAATTGATGCTCGACAAACAGCGATCTTGAGAAGAACGGGGATCATGAAGTCGAAAATGAGGTATCATCAGAGATTTATTGCATAAGTAGTTTGAGACCATGTCAGTCTGCACATAGCAAAAGTTACATAGACACTGACAACAAAATGTCATCAATTTTCTCAAAATATATCGTTATCTATTTGTCGCCGTGTTCGACGCCTCTGCTCATAAATTATTCACACTAATTACAGGTTGAATGAAACCAATTGTGCAATGTGGGCAGCTTTCGTCTTCTTCATCAAAGGTCACCATGTCTTTGCGAAAAGGCTTGCTGCACTGTTTGCAAAGAAATGCCATTTCTGCGGCCCATTGCTGTCGGTGACTGCTCATCTCGAAGTGGCATTCGCTGCAATCAAACCATCGTTTACAGCATGGTGCTTGAAACGAAACCTGCATTCAGTTGTAAAGCATTTGAGCCCTTCACATGGCGAGAACTAAGCCATACCTGAGCGTTGGTGATATGCTTGCACATGATCGAATTATTTGTCTGACTAAGAATATGTGCTATTTCAAGTTATCAGGTAATGTAATAGATCTAATTTTGATGTTCTTCCCGACTTGACTAGCGTCGGAGCTACGACGGCATTTGTACAGGGTCTTGACCCGAAAGTGTACGAAAGTAAAGATTATGATATGAAAAAGGCAATTTTGGATATACTTTATGAGGAAGTTTTTCATAGTGACAGTGTTGATCGAAACGACACACCGAAGAGGATGCCAACGCTGTTGATGGTAGCCAAACATTTTATCACCACATGACTTAGTTTTAAAGAGCATAATGAACGGCCTACCACAATAGATGACATCGAACACGAATAAAAATCGACTGAAGCTAAACACAAAGGTCATTGCTTTTTGGAGCCGACACGTTTCGATGTCAGTATTGAACGAGCTGGGCAACACAACAAGCAAGTCGCAGCTGGTGCAGCGGTTGTTGTAATAGAGCAGCAGCAACAATATAAAGACGATTTCGACGACGACACCACTGATGTCTGTAAAGCTGCAAAAACTTTTGCTACTAAGGCTGCCAAGGCGATTTCAGTGGGCCACCATTTACCTTGTCGAAGTCGCTTAGTGAATTTTTCTCGTCTCAATAACACAAGGAAACAGCTTTTTATTTGCAACGGGGTTGCTGTGTACTCTTGCACAGAGATTGTTTTTGACTTAGAGGTTTCGCTAATACGACGTACAGAGGCTGGGCTCGAACGCTTTTACCAGCGATTCTACCTACCTCCAAAGACATTAGCACTTGCTTTTTTTAAAAGTGACACTTTGTACAAAGTATGGAACAAAATAATGTGACCAGTAGCTCAAGACTAGCCTCGTCCGTGTGGTCGGGAAACCTCTGGTTTACCAATCGCCTGCATTATAATGATAACGTTGCCCCTAAGAATACAAACGCGGTAACTGGAGAAAGATATGCAAGCCGATTATTCTTAACACCGCGGTATACAGTGAAGATCGAGCCAAATATACAATAATGTCGCGTAAATTGTGTGCTTGCTTCGTCAAATCCTTGTTTGGCGATATAAAAACAAACGGGGTGTCGCTAGCAAGTACTATCAATGCACAATTTTAATGTTTACCGCTGACGGTGCACAAATGCCATGATATGAACGTAAGATCCTTTATCTTTCCGAGTGCTTCACTGTACCACTGTGCGCCACCGTGTCGGAAAATGATGATTGTTATAGAACAGTGCAATCGCGCCCATCATACAATCGTCTTAGCTGAGCCTCAGTATCAGGAGCTCCACCATTTACGCAATCAGCAATTCCAGGTGGACAAGAATCACAAATACTCGGGCGTTGACCTCGTTGCCTCTCCCTCCGACATACCACCAAATACCACCAGGTTCGTTCGTGGCCGCCGTCATAAAGCTTGTCGGATCCAGTCTTTGGATGAATAAATTTATTATACAATTCCGAGCTAGGCTACCGGAATTTAGAATCTTGGTATATACATTTCTGGTTTAAATGAATCAGCAGGTTAAGACTTACGCAATGCGATCTAACAATCACACAAAGATGTCACGTGTTAAAATAGCAGGTTCTAGTTAAAGCGTTCGAGCCCAACCTTTATACGTCGTTATTTGCGAATCCTATGAGTCAGAAAAATTTCTGTGCAAGGTACACGGCAACTTACCAGCAAATTACGGCATAACCACTTCTCAATTTTTGACCTCTTCGATAACTGAGCAAACTTTGACGGTCGGTGATTGCAACAATAATTCAAGTCGGACTCAAAGCCAAGACAAAAATGTTTTTGCAAATCAGATCCACTAAATTTAACTTATGGATGTTCGAAGCATTTTTTGTGAGGCGTGCAATTACACTTCGTTCGCTCAGCCCCACGTCGATTGCGACGCCCAATCAAGTCCCGCCGCATTCGCTCATCAAATTCATCTAATTTCAGCTGATTTGACATCAGATTTGAATTAACGTTGATCGCATTTACAGCAAAATCTTATCGCGTACCATTTGTGCTCTGCGTGTTATAGATGGTGAAAATGAACACTCGCGCTGAATCTCCTCCATGATAGCCGCCCGAGACATCTCGCGATACTCCATGTCCAGCTGGAGACGCCCGAGAAACTCATCACGAACTTCATCCCACGTTTTCTTCGAGGATTCCACGTCCTGTTTCGGCGTGCAAGCCAACTCCTCTTGACGTTCATATTCCTCTTGTTTCTCGCGGTGCCTTTCTTTATATTGCTTTTGAAATTCCTCCATACGAGACAAAAACTCCTTCGCAACGTCACTCTAAGATAATCGCTGGTGCGTTAAAAATACTAAGCAGTTACATGTTTCATTCGTACCCACACAATACGGCTCCTATACGTGACCCCACAATTTGGACACTTCTTTCGCTTCTGCGTAAGTTCCGAGTATGATTGAGTATTACCGCAGGTATGACACTCCTTCTTGTCCAGACGACACGAGTACGCTGCTTCTTCACGTGTTCGGCGAAGTTGCTCCTGTCGAGCTCGCTCACCTGCCTCCATACGGCGAATGAAGTTATCGTTAAGCCGATGGAAATCAACTTTATCGCCCACTCTACCCCCTTCATCGTCAGGGCTACTTTGCGACGCTTTTTTGCTGCTATAATTGTGCAACCGAGGGTGAAATCGACAGTGGCGTTCGTCATCAAAACGCGCAAATTCAAAAAGGTCTTTCTGTTGCTGCCGTGCTTGAGTCAGTTTATCCTTCGCGAGCTCATTAATTGCCTCCCGGTTTGCAACGCGCTTCTTATTTTTTGCATTACTCAAGCTGTTTCCTTGTGCTATTGAGGCGAGAAACAGACGCCTCTGAGTAAGTGGTAATTGCTGAGACTGGAAATTGCTCAATTTGTATTGCATCATCGCCCGTTGCATCTCAACCTTAGTCAGTGGCGAACTCGAGATTGCCCCTTTCGACGGTTTTGAGCGATTTCGACTAGGTAAATGGTGACCCACTGAACTTGCCTTGGCAGCCTTAGTAGCAAGAATTTCTGCAGCTTTACGAACATTAGCAGCGTCGACCTCAAACTCGTCGTCTTCATATTGTTGCTGCTGCTCTATAAAACCAGCTGCACCCTGCTTGTTGCGTTGCCCAGCTCGTTCAGTATTGACATCTAGATGTGTCGGCTCTATAAGGCAATGAGCTTTGTGTGTAGCTTTAGTCGATTTGTATTCGTTTTCGATGTCATTAATTGCAAAACTAAGTCTTGTTGCAATAAAGTCTTCATGTTTGGCTACATCCAACAGCGTTGGCGTCCTTTTCAATGCGTCATATTGATCGTCGCTGTCACTATGAAAAATATCCTCATCAACTGCATCCGAAATCGCTTGCGTCTCCTTTTTTATATCATAATCTTTACTTTCGTGCACTTTCGGGTCAAGACCCTGTACAAATGCCATCAATGCCGATGCTGTCTTAGCTCCGATGCAAGTCAACTTAAGAAGAACATCAAAATTAGATTACTTCCATTGTCTCATAACTTGGAATAGCGCATATTCAAAAATATTACGGTGTATCACAATTGATGTGTTTATACGTAATAAACACATTTAAAAAATGCGCATAATTTTTACAGCTCGAGTCCAAAAATTTCTACTTGTGGCGCTCTACCAGGCAACCGGAGATACGTCACGCAAAGAGTCAGCTTAAGTAGTGGGTCATGGATCATCACGCCGGCAGTTTTTTTCACCGTAAATTACACTGTTTCAGAACAGCAGCGATTTCATTGACGTGACATCTCGACCACCTTATAGAGAGAGCCACAACTTTTCAAAATTATGATAGCTGTAGAATTGCTAAACCGCTGAGATCGAACAGCTGCTATTTTGACGACGCAACCTCTCAACCACCTTATAGCGACAGCGCAGCGGGGCTACCGTAGCTTTGCGCTTGAGGAAGCGTAATTTAGGTCACCGACTTTTCGTTCTATACTTGAACAAATACGAGTTAGCGGAACGCGACCCGCTTACATTAAGAGTAATTATTGCCTTACGCAAGGCTAATTAGCTCTACCCAAAAATGATTTTTTTATTTTTATCTGCGGCAAAGCTGCTTAACTTTAAAAGTTTAGATTTTACTAAATATACTAAATATATAAAGTAAAATCTAAGTATGCAGAACTACTGGCTACCTAACCTTCTTGTTTGGGTGTGGTCACACCATGCACATCTCATGTGACACACACCTCATTTACCAGGGTACGTGTAACCCCGTTACACCCTCCCATTAAGATTGGAACATTTAAAATTTCATTCGATTATTGCCTCAACGAGGCTCGCGTGTCCGCTAGACACTGCAACTTAATTTGCTGGAATAAAACGACTTCATTGCTCAATGATACCTGTGTCCACGAAACTGATCAACCAAGTCTTGCTAGTTCTGACAGTGAGCACGGGCGAAGCCCAACTTCGTCTCCGTACGCGGTGCGATGTCGGACAGTGCGTCCGCTGCACCGGGTGATGTACATCCTAGGCTCGATGAGCACGAGCGTCGCGCTTTGCGCACGCTATCAATGACGAGTGACCTCGTAGAGGATGTGGAGGTGGTCGACTACGAGTCTGACACTCCTATTCCCGCATGGATGACGAAGAAGGCGAGGTGCGCCAGCGGCGTGATACGAGCCCTGCTTGCGCCTTGTGGACCCCATGTCCATTACCTGACTTCTCGTCAACTGAGGCACGTGGTATGATCACCAATGACCTCGACGGGAAACAGAGGCGGCAGCTTGAAGCTGCCCATAAGTCTGCTCTAAAGCGCGCCCATCCACGGCCGGTCATTGGCCCTCATTTGGAATATGGCTTCCCCCCAGCGGATCCCGCTGTGGCAGCAGAGGACGCGGTAACTCGATCGTTGCGCGTCCACATTATTGGCCCTCGGCCAAAACGGAAGATGAACTAGCCAAACGGAAGGCTCTTCAAGCTCGTTTCTTTTAAAACACAAGAATTTCCGTTGGGAGCTCATCGCACTCGTCTGAGTGCTCAACAAGGTGGCTCTCGTGTACCTGCAATGCGGACAATACTTGTAGGGTTCACCCCTAGCGAAAGCGCTACAGATGACGAAGCGCTCTTTGAGCGATAGGTGTAACGGCACCGAAAACTTTCCTCACTGCATAACCTGCAGTTGAGCCACAATGAAGTGGACGTTCGTGTGGAGCGACTCGTCCGATTTGAGTCTGCCAAGCTCAAGGAACGCCGTCAACTTCCTACGGATTTTGCTCTGCGACGTATGGGCTCACAACCCCTTATGTTCCCGCGAGCTCTGTATTGTCGAATACAAGAGCTCAGGGCCACTACTTGAGCTCAGCTCATGGCCCTTCTAATTACCTGGCTATTGCCGGGAAGCGCGGGGCGTCTGATGGCGCGGGACGTCCTGATCGTTCC